GTATTTACTAAGAAACTTGTCATTTGAAGCAGTCTTATGGGATGTGGCACCGTGTAGATGTGGTGTTATCCGACGTTTCGGAGGAACGTATGGCCTCCAGCTTCATGGTAGAAGGAAAAATAAGAAAATCCGCAAGCGAAGAGACCGTGAGGCGATACGTTCCTCCGAAATTTCGGTTAACACCACATCCACACGGTGCCAAATCCCAGAAGACTGCTTTCTTCATAGTCACCGCTGTGAAAACCTCAAGTCTTACACAGCGATAAGGATGTTTATAACTTGCTTTACTCAGCATTTTACGACTAGCATGTTCTTTACATTTTGCTGCTTGAAGCACTTCTTGAATTTCTTTGCTGTGTGTGACTACGGTCCAATTCTCCAGCCCTATCTCACATTTCCGAACCTCGAAGCGTCACATTGTCACGTGATTCGTCCTGTGGTTGAACAAACCCAGCACAGTACTGTCCCAATGTCGCGACATTTCTCGCAACCCACGCTTTCTGTGTTATGTGTTTTGTGTCTTCCCTTGTACACGTAGACTCTGCAATACTCCTCAGTACCTCTTCTGCTTCCGCGGAAACGCGAGAGGGGATAAAGTGACGCACTACGCACTGAGGCAAGAAAATTTTCTCCTCTTCACAGTGTCCATACGGGCTCTAGGGCCCACCCAACCTTCTATCCAATGGGTACCGGGGACTCCTTCCCTGGGGGTAAGAGACAGAAGCGTAAAGTTGGCCGCTCACCCCCATCTAGTGTCGAGGTCAAGAATGATGGAACTGTACCTCCACTCCCCCATACAGCTTCATGGCGTGCAGCGTAATTGGACGACCAAGGGGTCGGAGTTCGAGTCCTGGTAGGGTAAAAAATTTTCTCCAAATCGTCCAGACCGACTCTGAGGTCCACCCAACCTCCTATCCAATGGGCTCTTTCTCCGGTGGTAAAGCGGCCGTGGCATGAAGGCGACCACCCACCTCCAACTAGTGCCGAGGTCAAGAAAATGTGGATCTATACAGCCACTCCCCCATAAGTCTTCATGCCGTAATGCTTAATTAGACAAGTACGGGGACAATTTTACCTTACTTTTTTTTTCCTTGGCACTACAGCCCCAGTGGGCCTAGGCGTACCTCCATGAACTTCTCCGTTCACTTACCTTACCTTTACCAAGGATAACTTTACCTTTTTACCTTTACTTCCAAGAAAACCTACTGAAAAATGGGCTGAATAACAGAGGCAGGTAAACTGGAAACGAGGCCAAATGCTCGTCGTTTCCTTCATGACCGCTAGAGTTCTCCGGGAGTGTGTGTTGTTGGAGGAAATCGAAACGGTTAATTAACAGTGGTAAGTGCTGCCTCCATGCGATCGTTGTTGCATCGACAGTGAAAACTTGTTGCTTCTCTCTTTCGCCGATTATCCACGTGCACAACCGCGAATGCGGGAAGTACTCGATTCGAATCCAGGCCCGGGGTATTCTATATCGTCCAAGGAGTCTCTTGCATTTAACAGTTGCTCTAGAAGGATAGTAGATATAACTTACGATAGGCTACAACCGTTTCTTCAGCATTGCTTCTTCATTCACCATTCGTATCAGAGAGAGGGTCTACATTCGACGCTAAATGTCCTTGGCTTTCGGAAAGGTTAAGGAAAAAAGCAGTGGATTTATGTTGGATCTTTAGAAGCCGATACGATCCAAAGTTAAATTGTGCCTACAGCTTTCAACTTACAAGCATATTTTCCCATGGCGCCGAACCGAGTTCGAGCGAAGATCAGGTAATGTGGGATTTGTGGTGGACAAAATGGCATTGGGTCAGCTTTTCTCCCAATACTTCGGTTTCCTTTGCCAATTCTCATTTCACCGACTGCTCCACACTCACCATCTATCATCCGGGGCTGATACAATAGGCCAGATAGTGACCGACGTACCAATTGGATTAAGTCTCACTCCACCTAAAGAAAATAAAAAAACTACAACCATATTGTTGCATTTAGTTGTACTATTAATTTGTTAACGCGGGTCAAGGTAGCCAAACGGTCTGAGGTATGTACTGTCATCACTCCTTCGAAAGCCGGGATCGTTGGTTCGAATCCCTC